CACATGTTATGAAGTAGAGAGTATTCTGGACTTTTTTTCCTGTTTCCACCCTTCTTCCACATTTGTGTGCTGGGCTCCAAACCCCACGCTCCCCTCATATTGTGGGAGCACCTGTTCGGTGTTAGAACAAGCTTAAGTTGTATTGTTAAGGAGATAGACTTACTCTCCTCCTAGCCTTCTGTGAGTTCATTTTATTTTAATGTGCGCATTTATAGCAAGAGCTGAAACCATGAACTGTCTAGGAACTATGCGGGAGCATTTTATAGTAAAGAAGAGGAGGAGGAAGGAAAACCAGTGCAGGAAGCTTTAACTTTGGGGAATGGAAACAAACTGGCCAACAGAGCACACGGGGATATTTCCGTTTCTTCACCTTGTCTGCTGGGTTTCTTCTGCTTTGCTTTTCCCTGTCCCCCACAGAGTGACACATCTGGTTGCTGTGTCTGTCTCCCTTATCTTTCTGGTGATCCTGGCATGGTCATGTGCTCTGCTTAGCATTATCTATGGTCTTACATCGACACAGCTATCCATGGAGAGGATCTGAACAGGTCCAGGGCAGAAAGACCTTGCTCAGCCTCCCTGGAACCTGTGGAAGGACTGTTCTGAGCCACTCCTTCATTATGTTCCTTATGAGTAACAGCGGACCTTAGGAGTGGGCTTCCTTGTACTCTCTGTACCTGCTCTGCTCCTGCCCGCCAGCCAGGGTTCACCACAATGCACTTTCATCACGCCCTGGCAAAGCAGGTGCTGTGAGTGCTGTCTCCCGTAAATTCAGAGGTGTGGGGTGAACCCTGACATAGTTGTTTTAGGCAACTACAGTGTAGGAATGAAAATGGATTTCATGGATATTTAAATCTGTCAATTCCATTTTTTTGTTAATGTTTTCCCCATTGACTTCTTAGCAATATAACAAATAAAATGAAATGGTCAGAAGAAAAAAGAAATTGGTGTATATATGCTATATTAACAAGTTTATTATTAATTAGTTATAAAACTGGTTGACATTCAGATTATATCCTGCTGTCTATTCTTTACAATAATTATCTTGTCAAATAATATGAGGAGTTGGTTTTTTTTTGTTATTTTTTTTTGACATTACAGTTACCATCAGCATTTCTGCATTTTATCTGGACATTCCTAATTCTTTCCTGACAGATATTACAGACCAAGCTTAACTACCCATAGGACTAAGCATAAGTAAGTATAATTTAAAATATTAAAATACTAATTCCTCAGGGTGGGAACCAGGTCTATTATGTGAAGTGAATTTCCTGAATGGTTAGTTCCCAACTTCACAGTTTACAAGAAATTGATTAATAGGCTATGAGTAATGATAGATTACTGGTTCAGGGTTACCAAGTTCCATAAAGATATAATTTATGATGATTATAAAGAGACTGTCTTTTGTTTGAAAATGTATGACAACTAGTAGACTGGAGGCACACAAATTAATGAATACATGCAAATATCGGGTGTCACTGTTTAAGGCTGAAGGCTGAGCAACAGTTGGTTCTCTGTAAGTCACCCTGCTGCATGCCAAGTCCCTATCCTCCACACCTTCACTTGAAAAGGAAGACTTCCTCCTCGGAGACCTATCTGAGTACAAAAAATGAATAGGATGGGCATTGGAAGAGGAAGAGTCCACCCTCACTGGTCTCTTCCTCATTCCATCCTCAACACTATGGAGTGAACATTTTCCCTGTGCTTTTTAGGAGAGGAAAAGCGAGGCCTGACTCATCTAAACTCTGGGAGAAGGACCTCTAGAAGAGTCAGATGAAAACCAGCAGCAGAATGAGAAGAGAGGAGAGGCCTGGTTTCCCAGGCCTGGGAAATAGACAGTGATGTAGACCACTATGAACAGTCTAGGTTGGGTTGATGAAGCCCCCTGGCAGCCAACAGAGTCACTCAGAGGTGCTGGCAGACTCCCCATCAGCCAAACAATTCTGGAAAATTAGCTGCATGTTCTACTACCACCCACCACTTAGGAAGTCATAGTCGCAGCTGTAACCCACATCCTGTCCCGTAGACCCAGTACAGATCTGCATAGCCAGAGAAACACTTGCAGGCCCTTTTACTGAGCCAAACTGGTGATTCTGACAAGTTTCTATTGTTTAAACAAATAAGGGAGGCTATAAATTTAGAACCATAGTACCTAGGCCAGTGGATATCAGTAAATCTGTATTTCTAGAGTAGATGACATAAGGGAGAGCAATGAAATGACATGTGCAAAGTCCTTCAACATTTTGTGGTTCATTGTTCAAACTTGATGTGCAGTTACATTTTGTTCCCCATTGATCAAACTCTTTTCATTTCCTTACTCCATAAATCTGCCTGCAAAGAGGACAAACTGACTGGGAAGGGTATTTAATGCATTGGCCGCTCCTCTCTTCTCCACGAAGTGTTTTCCCTGGACTTCTCAGAGCATTGTTTTTCCTGGTTCTCCTTATCTCTTATGAATGGAGGGTCAAATCTCAGCTATCCTCAAGTATACCCAAGCTGTGCTCTCAAGCCCTCAGTGAGATCCCCCATTTAATGGTGTTAAACACCATTGTTCTGATGACTCCCACATTTTTATCTGAAGCCTTAGATTATCTGCTAAATGACACGGGTATCAATCTACCCATCACCGTCATTCTGATACCTAACAAGGAGTATGAAGAGATTTATTACTCAGATAATTAGACTTGCTGGGGAGAGCAGGGCAAAATCACAAACATTTTAAAGTGGCTTGAGAGAGCAGGGAAAAAGAGATGTTGGCTTTTACTGTGATCAGGGACTGTGGTGAGGTGAGGGTTGCTGTACACCGGCTACAGCTTGCATGGCTTGAGTGCAAAAAGAGGAAACAGATGAGCTCTCTCATGAGTTTAGTCAGATGTGGACCAGAAAAAGGAAGAGGCTGTCAGCAATCCAACATCAAGAGAAGGATTCGACTCTTGGCTTATAGTCTCAAAATCAGTACCCGAAACTCTGTCCTTATTGCTGAACAAAGCAAAATGAGATGTCATCTGATCCCTGCTGTGCCCCACAACCAGTTCACCAGCAAGTCCATCAAACAGTTCTAGGCCTTCTCATCAACTCTACGGCTACCGTCCAAGTCTAAGCCCTGTCATCGCTCACCTGAATTCAGTTCTTCCAAATTTGTCTCATGGCTTCTACCCTCGCTTCTTTATAACCTGTTCACTATGTAGCAGTCAAAATAATTCTTTTCCTATTACTTCTTTTCTAGAAGTTCTCCAGCTGAGTCTCATTTCATTTACAAGTTAGTCCTCATTATACATGAAAATTTCTCCACAGTCTGCCTGCCGCCCCCTCCTCTGGCTTCTAGCCTGCTCTTTGCACTTGCTGGCCCTCTGACTAGGACACCCTCTCAGTTACTCACCCGCTTTCTCCTTTTATTTAGCTCTTCACCTTTCTTGGCGATCCTATAGAAACCCCCCATTTCTCTGACTCCCCTCGTTTGCTTTACTATTCTCTACAGTACTTATCCTCAATTGAAAATTTGCAGGTTTCTCTTGTCCTTTGAATGTCTTCACCACTAGATTCTACAGTCCATGAGGAGAGTAGTGTACAATAGTGCCTGTTACATAGTAGTAATCAATGAGTATGAATGAATGATAAATAATGGATGTAAATGATGAGTGAAATATACCACTGAAAGGCTGATTAAGATCAATATACTTTGTACAAAGACTTCATTGAGAATCACGTCACAGCACACACATTTTTAACAATTCTAATTTCTTTGTGTGAATCAACAAACATACTCAAGTCTCTGCCACCTGAAAACAAACAACTTTAGCCCTGCCTCTCCTTCTAATTGTTCTACTTCTTTCCTATATTTCACAGCCTAAAATCATATATTAGAGGGCAGAGAGGGCTGTGTTCCCTCTATGCCCTCAACCTTCCACTTTGCTACTGGCTTGCCCACTCGAAGTTCCTCTAAAATATTCTGTAATTTTTATAATGACTCCTTCACCGCTAAATCCAAACAAAATTTTTTTAGTACTTATCCCATGATGATTTGATAACGTGGAGGACTCCTGACACTCTTCCTTTGGTGTCAACCTATCTTCTCCCTTTTCCTCCACCTCTTCAAACACTCCTCTGTCCCTTTTATGGGCTTCTCGTCCTCTTCCTAGAAGGCTGGAGAGCCATGCTTGGGGCAGAAGCTCTTACACCACCCACAAAATGGCACCTGTCAGAGGAGAGAGAAGGACAGCACAGGGAGAAGGAGGGAGGCATGGACCAGAGAGGAGAAGCGTCTATGAAGAGGTGGGAAAGAAAGGCATAGGCTATGTGAGCCCTTTTAGTATAGAGTCGCGTGGGTGCTGAGACTTAGCCATTCTTCTGACTTAATGGAAATAAGACACATAAAAAAGAGGTAAATTGGAACCGCAAGAGGTCCCAGGTGTGACTCTGGTTTTAAAAAATGAAGAATTTTAAAAAGTACAATATCTACAGGTAAAATCTTAGCTTACCAATAATCATGAAAAAAAATTAAATTCTTGCACTTATTTCAGGATTACTTTTCTAGAAACATCACAGAAGTAGAAGAAAAAAGCAGTGGTATATACTGTTGGAACAGTCCACATTGTGACTCCCTGAACACTGGCTTTGAAGTTACCGGTATTTGGCGATAGTAGTCATCCCTGTGACCACACCACTGTTGTGTAAAGGTTTGGGGCAATCCCTCATAAGGACAGCAGAGGGCAGACTGACTCTGTGAGGCATCGTGGAGTACTGCGGGCTGCCAAGTCCTAACACAGCAACAGATAAGAATAAGGACCAAAATGCTACAGAAAGGCTAAGAGAAGTATTTGGGGAAGCAAAATCATTCTTCTCAGAATAACTAATTTTACTCAAAAGCACATTCAAGAAAAGCCAAATTGCTGAATAAATAAACTGCCAATTCAACAGAAGTAAATTTCCTAGAGCAGATGCAGAGTTTGGCATAAGCAAGCAGAGCCTGGGTGCCTTATTAACAATATAAATTTATTTCTCACCATTCTGTAGGCTCAAAATCCAAGGTCAAGACACCGGCAGATGTGTTTATCTGGTGTGGACCTACTTCTTGACTCAGAGATGAATGTTTTTGCTGTGTCTTCTTCACCTAGTAAAAGGGAAGGGGAAGGTCTCTGAGGCTACTTCTATAAGGCCATTGATCCTGGTCAAGTGTGTTCTGCCTTCACAGCCTAATGACTACACAAAGGCCCCACCTCCTAATGCCATCACCTTAGCGGTTAGGTTTCAACACATGAATTTGGGGAAGACATAAACAGTCGGTCTACTGCAGGAAGATGAAAGAATTCTTTATGGACAAAGACAAAAACTCAGTCAAAATTACCTTTGAAAAGTTTGAATGGTTCATTCTTTTATGAAATGATCACTTGGTAAGCCAGCTTTCAATGACTTGGATTTGGGCCACATGAAATTCAGCAAAGTGACCTTGAGTTATCTATATCATAAGTCCCTGCACAGTTCATGAATGGACCCCTGGCTGATCATGGAGTAGCGCATGGGAGGGCAGGATTCATTTGGAGTCAAAAATAGAAAATATGCAGAGACAGGTAGTGGCTATAGCAGATAAAGAGGTAGCTGAAGGGTGAAAGGTTCAGCTTCAACTATAATGGTACAAAATGTTTGTGACTCTAGCTGTCCAGGTACACATGATGTGAAGGTAGTATGGGGGATAAATGAAAAAGTAGCAGTGTAGTTCCAGCAATGTTATTAATGGACTGCCTTAGTCCATTTTGTGCTGGTATAACAAAATATCTGAGGCTGGGGACTTTATAAAGAAATTAGGTTTATTGGCTCATGAGTCTGTAGTCCAGAAAGTCCAGACACCATGGTGCCACTGTCTTGTAAGTGTTACAACATGGCAGAGAAGCAAAAAGAGGCCACACGCAGAAGGTGCCAATCATGTAGCCTCGCTTCCTGCAAACTCACCCTTGAAGAAGAAACCTGGTCCTCCAAATACATCATTAATTCTTTCTGAAGGTGCCTCTGGGCCTAGTCATGTTCCACTAGGCCTCACCTCTTCAAGACCCACTACTTCTCAATGTCATTACTTTGGGAGCCATTTTCAGCACATAAATCTGAGGGATATATCCAAACTAAAGCACTACCAGTGGTGAGCACAGTGTCCCAAAATCAGTTGTATTAGTAACTATTCATCATGCTAACCTTTCTGGGTTTCAGCCTCTATGTCAATATTGCTTTGGTGGTGGTCATAAAATCAGCTGTTTTTGTGAGACCTTGTATTAGCAGTCATAGGTGAAACTAAAGTAGCAGGCGATTTACTAGTAAAAGATGAGAGGCTATACATGTGGCCTCCTTTGCCCACCCCACACCACAATACTCACTAGCTGAAGCTGGGCCTGATGAATCTGGATTAACCCTAACATGCACAGTCATTATTTTATCCAGGAAAACTTACTAGGAGAGGAGAATGTTTGATGTAACCCGAATTGTGATTTTCCTCGTAGAGAAATGGAAGAAAATAAGGGGATTGTGTTGTGTTTAAAGTGGAGGCACTGACCTAGAATAGATAATCAAGGAAGTCATGAAGCCTGAAAGAGCCTTGATAGGGAATTGACGGGATAAGTGATCCCGAAGAACAGAGGTGGCAAACCTGTGGCACACATGAGGCAGCAGGCTATACCACCGAAAGCTTAAAAGGTTCGCCATCACTGCTACAGAAGTTCAAGAAAAAGTTTACTAGGACTCTGTAAAAGGTATACCCAGAAAAGAGTGAAAGTGTAAAGCTGCAATCTGTACTTTCACAAGGGCAGTTGTTCCTACAGATAACAGAGTCCTGGGTGAAGTTGAGTTACTGAAGACTGGATGGTCACAAACCACATACAGTAGTTCCCAGTGATTCAAGTTATCAAAGAAGTACTATAACAGCAGTGTTGAGTAGGGAAAAGGACTGAGAAAGTTTCAAACAAGTGTGCCCAAGAGCTGAATGATGACTATAACAAAGAAAGGCAGAGGCTGGTAAAGGACTGAGAAAGTTTCAAACAAGTGTGCCCAAGAGCTGAATGATGACTATAACAAAGAAAAGCAGAGGCTGGAGTGAGAGAATAGATTCATTCATAGGAAAATGGATATATATTGAAGATATACTCCTAAGTGAAATAAATAAGTCCCACATGTGTAAATACCAAATAGTTTCCCTGGTGTGAATATTCTGCAACAATGCATAAGATTCTAATAAGATTACTGACATTTAGAAATGGGAGGAAAGGAGCTAAAGGTGTAGGGAAGGTGTGATACGTAGGGGAAGAACAAAAAGGGAAAAGAAAAAAATGTGAGAGAATGAAAAGATGAAAATAAAGTGTTTGTAGATGGGGAGGGGAGGAGGGGGTGAAGGGAGGGCAGAGGTAAGGGGAAAAAAATGAGAATCAAGACTTGCCATGTAAAGGTACATGATCCCAACAATGAATGTAACTGTACTGTATCCCTAAATGTACCAATAAACTCAATAAAAAAAAAAAAAAGAAAGGCAGAGGCTGAAAGTACCAAGGAGCAAGAGCCTCAAATAGTGTGCTCCTTAATGAGGAAAGTAGAGGAATGGTTTGCCAGCAGCAGTGGGGAATTAGAAGGTTCTCTTTCTTCACCTCCACCTATCAGCAGAAAACAAGAAGAGAAAATATGCTACAGTCAGGCAAAATGAATAATGAATAATGAAGTTCACTTTGGCTCAAAGAAAAGAAAGGATGCACCACTGAGGAGCTTTTCAGTGAAGCAGGAGTACAGAGAGGATATAGCTGCGAGAGTTAATCGATTGTGTAAACTTTAGGAAGATACAATTCTGAGTGTGACTGGGAGAATTTATTGAAGACAGAAGATATACCCTGGGGCAACTTGTCACCTGAATAGTATAGAGGGGAAACGGTGATGGAAGCTTTGCTTCTGACTCTTTGGGGGAGCTCCAGTCTTTGCCTTCACTTTGGATGGCATCTCCTGGCTTCGTATCAAATGGCCAAAGGGTCTGTGACGGAAGCCTGAAGGGTCTGTGCTGGAGGCTGAATGGTCTGTGCTAGAAGCCAGCTGTCAACTGAATACTTCAGCTCTGCAGCACACAGACAGATCTTTTGCACTCCTCCATATCTGAATCTGTGGGCAGCCATTGTAAGCCAATCTTGTAAATTCTTCTTTATCTGTATGTCTTGCATTAAACCTGTTGCTCTGGTAAGCACTGACTGATGTAATAGCTCTGTGTTCTTCATACACCCCACTCCTCTGCTCTTTGCTCCTACAGTCAGCTCATCACGTGGACCGAGAGAGCAGCCTGAGCCATGCCATGTGACCCTGTAAACCCCCATTGCTGCCCCTGGGCAAAGACCTCGACACAAAGGTTATATGATTGTGTTTTTAATCATAAGGACACTTGCAAAAGAAAAAATACACTGGACAGACATATTTTCTGAAAAGATAATCTGTGTCTTCAGTAACATTTCTTCTTAAATGATAAAACTGCTGTAGTAGAAGTAGAAAATACAGACATAAAATCAATGAAGAATATTCCCTAAAATCTCACTACTTTGAAAAAAATCATTTTTATCATATTCTCACTTTTCTTTTAACTGTGTTATTGTACTGTGTATATTATGTTTTGTTTTGTTTTTTGGTATGAGACCTTGGACTTCCAAAGAAAGCAGTAGCACCACTTACCTAAATCCCCAGCCTAATGTACTGTGTATTTTATAATCTTCATTTTTACAACAATGTTTAAGGTTTCTAAATATTATGGCTGTATTATATTTCATCATAAAATTCTTCTCTTTCATAGATTTGTTTTTTTAATATTTTGTTTCTGTAATACCATCAGAAAGAAACTCTTTGTACCATAAAGATTTTTCTATTTTTCAGATGTTTTTGGCATGGATTCCATTAATCAAACTTTCTCTAACAAACAGTATACATTTTAAAATTCTTACCATATATTAGCAAGATTTTTCCTCCCAATGTATTTGGGTTGATTAGTAATATCATCAGTTGAGTTTCATTGTCTATTTTACTTCATACTGACCAGAATTGAATTTTTTCTTTCTAAACTCTTATCTCAAATCTGTTAAGAAAATAAGTTTTTTGTTATTTATGTTGAAGACATTTTATTAGTAAATAATGGTTGATTTACATATTATTTGTTAGCATCCTTTGTACATATAGTCAAGGGAACCACAGTATTTTCTCAGTGCAAAATTATAATTACCTTAAATTTTATAATAAATTTTCTTTAGAGGAAACAGCATAGTTCTGTCAAGTCCAAAAACTAGAATTGACAAAGGACTCAACCATAGAACAACTCCTGTGCTTCGGAGAAACTTCTTGTACAACTTGAGAAAAAAAGGGGGTAAGAAAAGAAGAAACATTTGTACAGGTTCAGAATTTGTCTCAGGGTTCTCCAGGGGAAGAAGGCCAATAGAGTGTATATAATTACAAAATAATTTTCAAGAGCAGCTTGTTAATCAGAGTTGAATAGTTCCACAATGGCAGTCTGCAGGTTGGAAAGCTGGGGAAAGCATTAGCTTTCAAGTGCAAGGAGCTGGAAATCACAGAACAGGAGAGGAGGCTGCTGCTCCAGTATAAGGCTTGAAGGCCTGGAAGCACCTTGGAAAGTTGTTTGTCAAAGTCTTCATTTAAAGATTGAAGAATCTAGAGTCTGATGTCCACAGACAATGGAAGCAACAAAAAGTTCACTTGCTCAAGAATGGTGCAGTGGGTGTGCTTGCGTAAGCCTCCACTTTCTTCCATTTTTTTGAGATAAAGATTTTTCTATTTTTTATACTCCAAATAGTCCAAGTTGCAACGATGAGGCTTTTGTGTTCTCTTGTCACATCTCCACTGGAATCTGAGTGTACATGATGCCCATAGCTTACTTTGTATTCTTCTATTTCTCTCAAGTGTCCTGCTCTATTTTAGGGAGAAATTGTCTATAAATCATGACCTGGTAGTCAATTGTGGTCATTGGTACACCATTGCTTCTAGGGCTTTCAGTGGGCCAATCTCAGAAATACAAATTTTTGAAGAGCAATATTGACATTTACATTTTAAATCAAATGTTAGACAGTGTTATCTCTTTTTCAATTTTATTTCTTCTTAATCTTACTGAGATGTTTAATTATATTTCAACTATGTTTTAAGATTTTCAGATATTAACTTGTCAATATTTTAAAACTGTGTG